CTAATGATTTTTGGCATAAAAGAAAAATCGATCATTTTGACCCATACAATGTATTGTTAGTTATTGCTACAAATATACCCCAGCGACTTAAGACTGGTTTTGTGCTCCAGGGTCACATTATATATTTTGTGTGCTGTTATCCTAAACTCATTTTCACAAGTGTTTTTTTAAATAATAATATGTACATGTCTTATTTAATGTTTATATATATATAATATAAAATCACGTTAAAATGTAACTTATACAGACAATGACTTGAATGTATATAGTTTCTGAATCAAGTTTCAAGTTTGTTTTTTGTTGTTGTGAGGCTTAAAGTCTTTAAGTCAAAAATATATAGGTGGTGTAAGAGATTATTATTATTATTTATTATTATTATTATTTTAAATTATATTATTTACAAAAAATGATTTCATGAAATTATTATTTATTATTATAATAAATTGTAATTCTATTACAATTTTGTTTTTCAACAGATAAACAGAGAAAGCTCAGTTTTCTTTTTTCCTTTTTATATAATGATTGAGTCGTGTACACTCACATGTAATCATTTATAGAATCATATGATGTTTACAGAGTCATTGAAGTTTTTGTAGAGTTTTTAACGTTTGTCAACAACATTGACACAGAATACATTTGATTTCTTCTTTTCATAACCTCCTCCTTGTTCTTGATCTATGATGTTTAGCTGTTAAAGTGGCCTGAGGTTTAGTGCTCTGGTGGATTGATTCATGCACTGTAAAACCAGAAATGGACTGTGTCTTAAAACCTATTGACCTGCAACTTAGACAGCATTTTTAGGCATCATAGGCAGGCATTTAAAATCCTTAAAAGGCTGTGTAGATAGACAGCTCAAAAGGCTTTCAGATGCAATAGTAGCAAAAAATTAACAGAAATTTGAGTTAATGTTTGCCTGTCAACATTGTGTTGGTGTAGAATGAAATACGTTACTTGAACTTTCTGGTGCATAAGTCAAGGGATTGGCCAAAAACCTGATAACATGTTCTCAGATGTGTTGATATTTAAGTGACCCCATGAGGGTGTCGTTTGCCTTATCTCAGGTCTAACAGTCATTACACCACCATCAGTTTAACAGGCTTCAACACCACTGCAGCAATAGAATCAAGTAGAATACAATAACACAGAACACGTGCATGTTGTGTTGATCATCAGCTTAAAGGATTGCACAGAAACGGTTCGCATTCAATTTTATTCTGAGTTGAAAGATACTAAAGAGACATGGTTTTGATCCAGGTTGATTGTTTTCTGTAGACTGTACTCTGCTCATGCGGTTTGTCATGAGTGTTTCTCTTCTTGCAGAATTCGGTATGAGAGATGACCTGCGGAAGATGGAGATCTTGGGCATGTCGAGCCGAGATCTGTATGTGAAACGTAAGTAAATCTACTGTAACCACAGAAGTCACCAATCGTGGCAGTTCTTATACATTTACAAATAATAAAATATGATACCGAGTTGGGATTTTTAAAGTAAAAGTTCACCCACCAATGAACATTTGCTCACCCTCAGGCCATCCAAGATGTAGATGAGTTTGTTTCTTCATCAAATTTGGAGAAATTTAGCGGTACATCACTTGCGCACCAGTGGATGCTCTGCAGTGAATGGGTGCCGTCAGAATGAGAGTCCAAACAGCTGATAAAAACATCACAATAATTCACACCACTCCAGTCCATTGATTAATGTCCTGTGAAGAGAAAATCTGCATGTTTGTGAGAAACAAATCTGTCATCAATTTTAATTAATTTTTATTTTTGCTTGTGAACGGTGCTTGATCTGTGCAGATTTCTCTCCTGATTCAGACGAGACGATTTTTTTTTCACTGCAGAAAGCAGTGATTTTAGCCGGTTTGAAGTCTTTATGCATTTGTTTCTTCCAAACACACATCTTTTTTTCTTCACAAGACATTAACTGATGGACTGGAGTGGTGTGGATTACTTGTGGATTATTGTGATGTTTTTATCAGCTGTTTGGAGTCTCATTCTGACGGCACCCATTCACTGCAGAGGATCCATTGCTGAGCAAGTGAAGTAATGCTACATTTCTCCAAATCATTTTTGGGTGAACTATTCCTTTAAGTTTATTTGTGTCATATTATATAATTTCATCTTTATTGTAATTACCAGACATGCTTTTTAATAGTTTTAGTAAACAGTAAAAACCTCGGAACTCTAGACCGCCTTTGGTCAGACAAACAGGTAATTGATTATCAACCTAGTGAGCTGGAAAAATCCTGACCAATCCATGCATATCACACATCTAGTGTGTGACGTCTCTTTAAATGTCCTTTAGACTTTTTAACTGAAAAATCTGATCTGTTTGTTAATGTAATGCTGTCGCCTCACCCCATTACATGTCATTTTCTCAGTGCATTTTACATTTACCTCAGCTCACAAAAGACATTTTTTTGTTCAGTTACAGCCACTTGTTTGTCTGTAGAGTATCAATGTTTGTTTCAACCAAAGATATTTCAGCAGGTGAAAGCATAGTGCTTATAGAGAAAGATTCCTCAGAAGTCAGCGTGGCATTTGTGTATAATTCAGTTGATTTTAAAAATGTGGATATGCAACATAAAATAAATCTTATCCTCCGAAGTGACAGACAAGCTGCAAACGAAACACTTCTCACTCTCCCAGCCCTGTACACATTCATTTTCTCTGGCATATGTGAGTGTGGTTCTCACTCTGCCTTGTGGCTCTCTCCTCTTCCTGTGGCGCACTCACCTGCGTACCTGTCCAGGTGTGAACCCGCAGGTGAAGTCGGGACGCTTTATGAAGCTCCTCCCTGATTATGAGCACATGGACTATCGGGACGTGTACACACACTGTATGTACTGGCCGTACACTGCCTGTCAAGCTCTGGTTGAAGATGCTCTTTGCTACTGACGTATTGTTCCAGGTTCATGGAGTTGAACTGTCGAACATGGTACAAATTAAGACCATATAGTAATATTTATATTAATGAAAATATTACTGACTCGTTCCTTAGTTTGCAAAAAAAACAAGCAAATTGTAACAGTACACAATATGCATTGTGGCAAGATAAAAGTAAGTATTGTTTTGAAAGTGTGATAAAGTAGTATAATATATTACAGTACAATAAAATCAAAAATTACAACAAAATAAAAAGTCTCTGTAAAGTTGCAAACCTAGTAACAGAATATGCAAATATATATTTTGCACAATATGCAGAAGTATACCAAAAAGCAACTGTTTAAATCCAGATGTAGGATTTTTCAGTAACCAGAAGTTTATCCATCTTGAATAATAGTCCCACCAAAAAGCTTTAGATTTCAAATAACACATTTTTGTATGGAAGTATTAATATAAACCGACTAAAAACTTCCGCTGTAAATGAGGAATGAGTTTTAGGGATTTATGAGTGCTGGTACGTTAGTTATTTAATTGTACAGCTCATTTCCTTTATTTTTACATTTAGAATATCTTTGATATCATCTGGATTATTAATCTTTATATTAATAATTTAATAACACTGTAATATTTAGCAAACCTCAATATCTGTTTTGCAGACTGTACATCTTTATGTTGTGATGCCTAACTTGTAACATTTAAAATGTTTGTTTTTATTGAATTGATTCGAAGAATTGCATAGCCATCTTATATGTTACTCAGTCATAAAATGAACATTATTTTGTGTTTTTAAATATTTATATTTTATTATACTCATTTTTTTTATAAATCTTTGTATATTTTTTATTAAAATATTTAAGTATTTTATCTTAAAATGTACTTAAAAATTAAGTTTAGGTGGTTTGTCAATTTTATTAGTTTTTTATTTTTTTCATTTCTATTTCACTTTAATTTTTATTTCTGTTTTAGCCATTTTAGTACTTTAACTTCAGTTTATTTGTTTCAAAGCAACCTTTCAATTTTTTGGTTGATCTTTTATCTAGAATCGTATTATTTCAGCTTTATTTTAATAACCGGAAAGTATTTTTAATAGTTAAGTAGTTTTAGTTAAAAAATAACTTAAGTTTCTAAATCACTACTTTCTGTCACAGATTCTTACTTATTATGAACGTGGAACATTCCTTTAAGGCTGAATCCCAAGTTGCATAGTTCTACTACACTATAAAAGTGTTCACTGGTGATGGGAAAGTACATACTTTTGGTGTACTTTTCTATGCATTATGTAGTAAGACACCACAAGTAGGAAAGTGTGTTATTATTACCATCATCCATCATCCATTTTGTTGCATTCCTACATAATTAATTCATCTAGCTGAATTCATTACATTATTACTTTTTGTTTTTATATATTTACATTCTGTTTTGACATCACATTCCTTCTGTAGCACAAGGATTTGTGGGTAATATTAGCCACAAGCATATGTTATTCCACTGGAAATAATTCAGGAACCTTTGCAAAATACTGCAAATTGGAACGCACGTATGCTAATTATTTAGTATGCATAGTATGCAAATTGGGACACAGCCTTGGTTTGGGACAGACTGATGTGACAGCAGCATAAGGGCAGCTTCTGCCGAGCGTGAGCACGCCTGTGTGTCCTGCATGCGTGTGTGTGATCGACACAGGCTGGCAAGGGTGCAGACGACTGCAGCTGCGCTAACATCAGCTGACTGTGTGAGATGCAGATGAGTAAAAGTGACCAGACGTGGGTAAATATTAGCTCTAAGTTGTTGCATGGCAGATAAGTTGCATATACTCACACACTCAATATGCATTCATGAGTTCATGCCCCATGCAGAAAGTGATATAATCCCATCCCATGTGTGTTGTGTGGTGTTTTAACGTCATGTACTTGTTTTGCAGTGTTACATCCCTATAGACACATCCTGGGCCTCTGGCAGCCTGATATTGGGCCCTATGGAGGACTGCTGAACGTGGTGGTAAGATCACACAGAAAAAGATCAACAAAGAATGATAACAAATGCAAAAAGATAGCTGATATTGGTGGAAAATTACATATATGAATTGTCATAATTCATATACAAAACTCTTATGTATTGCGAAGATGATTATGGCGATGAATATCATTATATTAACACAGTACAGCTGTATAGGGACATACTACTATGCAATAAAATGTTAAAATTGAAAAAAGGTATATAGAAATATTTAAAAAGCATGACAAAATTACTAAAACTTAAATTAAAATTAAAATGACTAAAATAAATAAACAAAAATACTAAAGTAACACTACTACATTTTCCTGTTTTATTCAAATTGACAGCATTTGCAAAATGCTGTTGAATGAACCCAATGCTAATGTAATATTGTGAACCAGTTAAAAAAAACAATTTGCTGGTCATTTTAGTACATATCATATATTAGCTAAATAGCTTTAATGTTGCTAGCTAATAGCCTTAACATACATCATGTATCTTCTAGCATACAGTGGCTAACTACAATTTCACTTGTTTTTACTCAGAATTTAAAAGTATGTAAAAACTGTAACTTGTAGATAATATAAGATGAATAAAATAAAAGGCCACTTAAGTGAACTTGAAGAGCGTTCACTTTCATTTTTTTCATCAAAACAGTACGTTTTAAAAAAATGAATTTTGTCTTTTCAAATTACAGGATTTACATTAAAGTACATTTTAAAACATGTTTTAATAAATGCATTTGTTTTATGTTTTGACTAACAAACCAAAGTACTTGATCTTTTACTGTAACTGTAGTGTGTTATCACTTTCAATACATTTTAATTGTTTCAAATTTCAGTTTAATCATGACAAATGTGTAATTACATGATAGTATATTTCAGTATGAAGTGTATTAAAGTTTACCATAATTGCTTGTCAGTACAGTCAGCAGTACACTTACCCATATTTACCATGAAATTACATATAAAGATCTACTTAAGTCCTACTTAGGTGGGTCAAAAATATTTCAGCTAATCACATTTAATTTAAAGGGGTAGTTCACCCAAAAATGAAAATGACCTCATGATTTACTCACACTCATGCCATCCTAGGTGTATATGACTTTCTTCTTTCAGACGTATACAATCAGAGTTATATTAAACAATGGCCTGGATCTTCCAAGCTTTACAATGGCAATGAATGGCCATTAAAGTTCAATAAAGTGCATAAATCCATCATAATAAGTGCTCCACACGGCTCCGAGGGGTTAATAAAGGCGTTTTGAAGCTAAATTATGTGTTTGTGTAAGAAAAATATCCATATTTAAAACTTTATAAACTGTAATCTCTAGCTTTTGCTAACTTTTGTACACGGGTTTACGAGAGAATGGCGTTCTAGCAGATGACGTTGGCGTAGCGTAAGCTCCGGTGAGAATATGCCAGTCTCTCGAGAACCAAATTTAGTTTACATCAAAGGAAAAAAACAGTCTCCTCTTGGCCTCCTCCTATGGTCTCCGAAATCCTCCGACATTTGTCTTTACAAATCCTCACTTTACACTTCTAATTCGTGACCAGTGTTTTGTTTTGCTCTCTCCACTGCGCTTCCGTGTTCGTCACTTGCCACCGGAGCTTACGCTATGCCTAATATACTTATTTTTAAGTATATTATTTCTGTAATAAGTAAAAGTATGCTAAAGTGTGCTTGTTTTTACAAGAGACTGTTGCACACATGTTAGCATCTAGCTAGTGTTAGCATATTGCTAAATTTATTATCATAGAGTTCATACTTGCTACATTTTTTTGGGGGGGAATTGTGTGCGAACTGGAATTCACCCAGTGGCTTGTTAAACATACAACTTTATTTAAAAAAAAAAAAAAAACCTGAATCAAATTCAACATATATAAGACACACATTAAATGTACAATTGTACCGTATTTCAAACGTGCAACTCTTTCTTGCTTTGGTGATTATTATAGGTTGACGGGCTGTTCATCATAGGCTGGATGTATTTACCGCCCCATGATCCCCGTGTGGAGGACCCCATGCGTAGACGGCCGCTCTTCCGCATTCATATGTGGGAGAAAAACAAAGCCGCGGTAGAATGTATGTACGGACACAAGGGCCCTCATAAAGGAGACATTCAGGTAAATCTAACATATTTCTACCACAATGGCTCAATGTGCCATTATATTCCACAAGATATTGACCTTTTTTTCTTTCCAGACTGTGAAAAAAGATGAATTTTCCACCAAATGCAACCAGACCGATCACCATCGAATGCCTGGAGGAAGGCAAGAGGTAGGAAACGAGACTTGTTAAAGGGATAGTTCACCCAAAAATGAAAATTCAGTCATTAATTACTCACCCTCATGTTATTTCAAACTTGTGAGACCTTCGTTCATCTTCAGAACACAAATTAAGATATTTTTGATGAAACCCGAGAGCTCTCAGACCCTCCATAGACAGCAATGATAATACCACGATAAAGGTCCAGAAACGTAGCAAGGAGATCGGTAAAATAATCCATGTGACATCAGGGGTTCAACCGTAAGTTTACGAAGCTACGAGAATACTTTTTGTGCGCAAACGAAAACAAAAATAACGACTTTATTCAACAATTCGTCTCCTCCGCGTCACCCTATAGCACCATTTTGGAGAGTATCACATACGTAAACAACATATGTACGCGGATACGTTGTTTGCGTTGTTTATGCTTTGATCTGAACTTTGATCTATGTGATACTCTCCAAAATGGCTCCAGGGTGACGCGGAGGAGACAAATTGTTGAATAAAGTCGTTATTTTTGTTTTCGTTTGCGCACAAAAAGTATTCTCGTAGCTTCGTAAAATTACGGTTGAACCCGATGTCACATGGATTATTGTACCGATGTCCTTACTACGTTTCTGGGTCTTGATCGTGGTATTATCATTGCTGACTGTGGAGGGTCTGAGAGCTCTCGGATTTCATCAAAAATATCTTAATTTGTGTTCCGAAGATGAACGAAGGTCTTACGGGTTTGGAACGACATGAGGGTGAGTACTTAATGACAGAATTTTCATTTTTGGGTGAACTATCCCTTTAAGACAGATTTTGAGGTAAACCGTGGCAGCTTCTGGATGTACACTGAGCCCCATGTGTTTGTGCAGGAGTTCAGAACGTGGTTGGAGGAGGAATGGGGAAGAACATTGGAGGACATTTTCCATGAGCACATGCAGGAGTTGATCCTCATGAAGTTCATTTACACCAGCCAATATGAGTGAGACTCCTACATCGCCCGTTCTCACCCAGAATGCGCTAACAGTTTAATTTCCTCGGTTCAGTTTTGCAGTCTGGTGCCAGGTGTGTTTTAAACGTGTGTTTTCTGGTTTCAGTAATTGCCTGACGTACCGGCGGATTTATCTGCCCCCGTGCCTCCCTTCAGACCTGCTGCAGCCGGGCCTCTTCAAAGGGACATACGGCAGTCACGGCCTGGAGATCATCATGCTGAGCTTCCACGGCTCCAAGGCCAAAGCCACCAAACTTACCGTGAGTCTGACATCTGCAAATATAGACTGGAGTGCTTTGATTCTCAGGGAAAACATGACACTGAGCAAACCTTTACTATTTGAGGCACAGTTCAACTCAAATCAACACCTGTACGGTGACGTCTGTCACACTTTCCAGTCCGGTGTGATATCTGGAGGAAATGACAAGGAAAAGTTGTGTTTTCTTAATTGTATTGTTCAGTCTAAGCATCGAAGCATTCAAGTTTCTGGTCCAATCGTTGAATTAGCAAAAAATTCTTTAATGCGGAAAAAAAGCATAATTTAATCATAAGAATGCGTACATTAACAGTGTTTCTATCTTTGGGGACTATACATTTAACATTTATGCACTTAAGCAATTCAGTTACAAACTTTTGATGCATAATTTCATCATTAAAAATTAAGAAAAAAATATTCACCTTCCAAAATGTTTTTTTAATTTATTATATTACTACTACAACTATATAATTTTTTTGTTATTTCTATAAATTATTATTATTCATTACTATGAATAGCTTATGAGTAGTGCTGTCAAACGATTAATCGCATCCAAAATAAAAGTTTTTGTTTACATAATATATGTGTGTGTACTGTGTATATTTATTATGTATATATAAATACACACACATACATGTATATATTTAAGAAAAATATGTTACGTTTACATATTAAATATATTTATATATGGTATAAATTATATGATATAAATATATACATGTAAATATTTTCAAAATATATGCTGTATGTGTGTATTTATATATACATAATAAATATTCTCAATACACACACACATATGTAAACAAAAACTTGTGTTTTGGATGCGATTAATCGTTTGACAGCACTACTTATGATTTAAATCATAATTAAAAACAATTTTGCTATTTGTGTGTGTGTATGGCAAAATAAATAATACAAGTAAACTTTAACATCTTTTATTGTTATTTAAATATTATTTTATAAAGTATTGTAGTTCATAGTTGAAATAGTTTGTAATAATAAAAATAATTGTAGTTATTACTATTATTAATTGCATATTATATTTTGGACAAAATAAATAAAACATTTAAATACACATAAAATTATTTGTTAGTATTTATTAAAATACTGTACTGTGTATACACAAATACATGAATTTATTTTAATTCATTAATTAATTAACTATTATTATTATTCATTACTATGAATAGCTTATGGTGTAAATAATCATAATTAAAAACAATTTTGTTATTTGTGTGTATGACAAAATAAAACAAATTGTAACATTTTATTCTTATTTTTTAAATATAATTTTCATAATATATGAATATTATAGTATCTAAATAAATATTATAGTATTGTATTTCATAATTTTAATAGTTTATAATTATTCTTATTTGTAGTCGTATTAATTGTATTAGACAAAATAAATAAAACATTTAAATGCATGTCATAAAATGATTTGTTAATATTTATTGAAATTAAAATGTGGATACACAAAATGAACGAATTAATTTAAAAACATTACATTTGAACAATTATTGTTATTATTATTATTCATTACTAAGAATAGCTTATGATGTAAATAATCATAATTAAAAACAATTTAGTTATTTGTGTGTGTGTGACAATAAAACAAGTAAATTTTAATATTTTTTATTATTTAAATATTTTTATAATATATAAATTAATATTGTAGTACTGTAGTTCATAGTTTTAATAGTTTATTATTAATATTAATTGTATATTTTGTATTAGACAAAAGAAATAAAAATGTATTTTTTAAAATAAATTTAAATACATGTAATGAAATAATTTGTTAGTATTTATTAAAATTAAAATGTGTATACACAAAATCATTTTTGTAAATTATTATAGATAGTGTATAATTTTAATAATAATGCGTACAAAGCAAATACAAGCAGTGTATTTGCAATGCACACTTTTTTGGCACATGATTTTTGTCATTAATATATTTCCATATTGTCTCTAAACAGAAGAATATGAGCAGAAAAATACATAGTAAATAAATTAACAAATTTTCAACTCCACATTTACACAAACTTTACATTTATTTAAAAGTAAAAGTTCAAGTTAAGGTTCCAACGATGCCTATAGTATGCGTGATTTAGCGTGTTCATCAGCTCACTTGTTTGTGTTTAGGGTGACCCCAATGTCCCAGCAGGTCAGCTGACGTTAGAAATCGACCTGAACCGGCCGGTGCGTCTGCCGGACCTGGAGCACCAGCGGAGCATAGAAGAGCTCTCTCGCCTGGTGCTGGGGGTGCACGAGGAGGCCCAGAGGGGGCCACAGTCCCGGGACGCCCCATCAGAGACTGCAGAGGGCTCAGATTCGGCTCCCCCTGCTGGAGCGGAGGATGTGGAGCCAGGAGCTGCTGCATCTGAAGCGCAGCCGTTTGTGCTGCCTCTGGGAGTCATGGCCCGTAATGAAGTGTATCCTCGCACCTGCAAGATGTGGTGAGTCTGCTGCTGTACTGTACTTTACATCTTATTACTGTACTGTACACATTACATAATGTTTATTAAATCAGCCAAAGTTCATTTCAATTTTTATTTTTACAGTATTTATATTTTTGTATTACCTTTGATCATTTTATTATATCATTAATACATTAATAATACTTAATTATATTTTGTAAAATAGGCATACGTGAATTATTTTAAATCAGTTTCCAAATTTAATTTGTTAAACTGAATAATTTTTTATTATTTTATATTTTTGTTTTGTCTCTATAATATTAAATATAATTAATGACAATTATATATTTATATATTTTTATACAGAAATAATAGACAGCAATTAAATGAATGAAAATAATTATATACTTTATATCTATATTATATTTTATAAAATATGAATGTCAATTAATTTAAATCGGTTACTAAATTTAATTTGTTAAACTAAATAATTTGATGTAATATTTTATGTCTATTAATATTAAATAGCATATATTTTATACATTATTATTTTAATAGTGTTCCTGTTGGTCAGTGTTAGAGGAACTCAGCTTAGTCTGACAGTTAGCCTGCTTTAGACCAGGTTAGTTTCCCAGCATAAGTTGCCACAGTGCCT